AATTGTTCGGTTCTATTACTGCTTACTTATTGCGTGTTTATCTTTCTTGACAGATAAGTATTGACAACAGTACTTTGCCCACTACCACAGCCGCTGACATGTAAGTCTAATTGGTAACAACTTATGGATGTTAGATGTTTATGCTGTCTTGATATTTGAATCCAAATCCAAAAAAAATCAAAAAACTATCAAGTTTGTGTTGTTCAGCACTCATTTTCTCTTTCTTACTTTGCCCCCTCTAGGTATCTTTCACCCCTCAGGAGCCGACATGCACCCCCTTCTCCTCAATCAAAGGCTAAATCAAGAGACAGTTCTTTAAGAGGCAGCATTACAAGCGCTGGTGTTTTCTCGCCACCAGTCAAAAGCTCACTTCAATTAATTAATCAATCAGGCAAGGATCAGAGTAGTGGCAGCAGCGTGCCACCACGGTCACAGACGTTGAATCTGTTTTACAATAAAGTGTTACGATTGGCGTACACTAGGTTACAAGCCCTATGCAAAGAGTTGGTAGTTACGCTTGATCTGGTAAGTTGAATTTCATTTATTTATTCATCAAGACTGAAAGTAGCTGATGGCCTTACATAAGTTTTTGATTTTGCATATTGATGGTGAAATTGAATTATGATTCATGATTTGCAGTACACACAACTTTATTCGTTTGGTGAAAAATACAAATACACATATGCAGTGTGCATGCAAAAACAATCGGTGCACATGTATATCAGAAAACATCAGTGTTTTATCAAACACACTTAAATCAAATGTTTTAGTTCATGACAAATCTCATCCAATGTATTTAGAATACATTATCAAAAAAAAAATATTAAATATTGCATAGTCTTATCCACATTGCATCCGATATGTACATAGTTGTTGGAAACACATGAATAACATGATTCACAGTTTGTGTTCCTTTGTAGAGCTCACAAAATTGTCTTTGTTCTGTAACAATAAAAATAACAGTCCAATGTATTATTTTCCTGGTTACTATATTTCAGTGAGAAAGTAGTTTTGCAGTCTCCGTTTGGAAGTTCAAACACTGTGATTCAAAATGCTTACCTTAATAATGTACAAAATGTGTAATGTCTTATTTCTTTGACTGTGACAGGAGAGGTTTATATGGACTACTGTTGAGTATTGTGTCACTCACAGACCAGAATTACTTAAAGATAGGCACCTTGATCAGGTGAGTAATAGATAAAATCTATAATCTGTAGATATAATCTTTTCTAAAGAAACTCATGCATGTAGAATTTTAGAGAAATTTAGTTAAAATTAATTAAAGTTTCACTCAGAGATGATACATTGAATTAGTAGACAGGTGAAATTCATTCATGTGGTGACAGATATACACCAATAAATAAATGAACTAATGAAGACTGAATTTACATTCTCATTCTTTGTATTTGTAGGTTATGTTGTGTTGTATATATGGTGTTTGTAAAGCAGCAGACTCTGAGTTAAGATTCAAAGACATCGTGGCTGTTTATAGGAGATTATATCAATACTCACAACATGTAAGAAGTGTAGAGCTTTTCTCCACAACCTACTTCATTCAACAAAGGCAACAAAATTAACGCCTTCTTGCTAGGATAGTTTGTATAGTATCCAACTTTTTATCACATGGGGTACTTGTCATGTTCGACTCACTTTAACTCTTCGGCAAATGTCAATGACGACTTCATTGTAGATTTTGCTCCAACAAATGATGTCACTTTTGCCTTTAATAGCTGAGATGATTTTACAAATCTTGAATTATTCCTCAATTTTAAAAATATCTGATCTGTTCGTTAAATTAAACAGCAGTTCATCAAATTAAACAGCATTAAAATGTATTGTTCAATAAGTGTATGTTACAGTACCATAGACTAGTCCTCGCTACCATTTTTACACATCTATTTTACTCCTATCAATGGTTGTATTTTCAAAACTCAATTCAACCTCTGGTATATTTTGTTCAGGTTTACAAATCAGTACTTATAAATGGTGAAGAGTATGACTCTATCATAGGTTTTTATAATAGAATATTTATGCCGTCCTTAAAGATGTATATACTTCAATTCCAACCCAATAGACAGGTGAGTATGCTTTTTGTCTCTGTACTTGAAATTCAACTTAGAGGAGGGCATGGCTAAAAGTGAATTAAAAAAACATCTGCTT